CGCAACAAAGAATTTTCAAACCTCTTCTGCTCTTAACTCTAGATATTGCAACATAAAGCTGACCATGACTGAATACTGATTTAGGTAGGTACAACCCAACGTTGGACAATGTTTGTCCCTGACTCTTGTTAATGGTCATCGCAAAGCACACCAAGAGGGGAAATTGTCTTCGTTGGAATTTGAATGGCAATCTAGCATCAGACGGACTCAACAACATTCGTGGAATAAGGACTTTGCTACCAATGTTACCCCCCAGATAAAATCTTCGCTTCAATAACGCGATCACCAAGTTGAGTGATGATCAACCTAGTGCCATTACATAAGCCAGAAGATTGATCCATGTTTCGAATCAACATAACAGGTACACCAACCTTCAATTTCAGGACATGATTTGGAATGCCAGAGCACTTGATTCCATTCAGAAAGTCTGTTGTGTACACTGAATGCTGTTTGTTTGAACCAACGAAGCTTTTACATATGCTGTCAGAGCTAAGATAAGTACGTTCTTCACCGGGGATCATTGACATAATAAAATCATTAACAGATTCAACAATATTATTCGTCGGTGCAAGTATAGCCCTCCCTTCGAAGAATGATGGATCATAAAAATTGCTCAGCAATGAAGGATATGTACTTTCAACAATAGCTGTAAGATGATCATCTGCACAGTGTATTAGTATGTCCTGAGGAATATCGACTAACATTTCTCCATCAACTTCAACACCAATTTGACCATCACCAATTTTTATGATCCAATCAGAGAACTCTTTAATTTCCTCAGCAGTTGCGTGAGATTCTGACTGTCCAACATTTAGTCTCATGTTTTTGGTCAGTCTAAGTACTTTGCAATGCTCCCAGAGTTTAGACGAATTTATGGAGGCATACACAATATCTTCTCGACTCCCTTGCGGTACAACAGGAAGAATTTGTCTAAAATCTCCACCAAAAACAATAACTTTTCCTCCAAAAGGTAAACTTTTTTTCGAAGGATCCAAACACGTATGTTTTAAGCTTCGATCTAATGCTTCAAAGCAAAATCTGTTCATCATCGGTGCTTCATCCCATATGATTAATTTTGTCTTTTGCAAAAGAGATGCTAGCTCAGAATCTGGAGTAAATGAGCACATAGATTTCTCACTGATGTTGATAGGGATTCCAAAGCGAGAATGAGCGGTACGACCTCCAGGAAGTAATAGCGAAGCAACTCCGCTTGAAGCAACATTAACAACAATTTCACCTTTGCTTTGCAGTGCAGCAGACAACGTTCTCCAAATGAAGGTCTTTCCTGTTCCACCATATCCGTAGACAAAGAAAACCCCGCCAACATTATTTGTGACAGCATCTAGAATTTTCGTGTAAACTCCCCTTTGTTCATTAGTCAATGAAGAACAAAGTTGAATGTGCTCCACTTCTTGCTGTGCTCTATCATATAAAAGCTCCTGTTGGATAAGTTTATTATTTCCTTCATTGAACAACGAATCATCAGGCTGAGGCATACCGATGTAATTTCGTAGAGATTTTCCATTGGATTGGACTAACTTCTCTACTTCCACCAACGAAAATTGTGCAACTGATCCTCACTAAGTCGCAAGTCTGCATAAAATCAATAAATGAAACAGTTAATGTGAATATAGACATGAGACTAATTCTTACATAACAAAAACTTGGATATCCATAAAATCGCATTTATAATAAATAAATATATATATATTAATTTATATGTATATATATGTGTGTATATAAATATATATATATATATATATATATATATATATATATGTGTGTGTGTGTGTGTGTGTGTGTATAATAATATATATATATATAAATATTATTTAATTAAAAAGGAAGATTACCAATTGAAAATCGATGTATAATGAAAGTAAAGAATGCATCACCTTGAATTCCAAGTAATGTGCGCTGTCTGTAAAGAATGTCGTCGGCCATAACTTTCCAAGTGTTTTCCCATACATACTCAGGTCTTGATAAACTATCAGAAATTAATAATGATGCAAAGAGTTTCCTAAGGTAAAATGGAGAAGCCCAAAAACTGGCCTCCACAATACCATCAACATATTCCTTATCATCATCCAATAGGCCCAACGAATAGCACGCATCCTTAAAAGTGGGATAAATGATTTTGTTAATGGTTCTTATATCTTCATAGCACAATGGACCTCGGGCATGGTGAAGCATGAGAGACAAATAATGCATTTCTCCTGCACCAGGTGGTACGTAATCCAATCTTCCTATGCATACTTTTTTTATGCGAGGGGACCAGAAATGCTCTTCTCTTTTCCAAGTAAACTTCGTAGGCAACTCAACATAAGTTAACGTTCTTGCTTTTGGGTATTTTTGGTTGCATTCAAACCAAGCTAAGAACATTGATTGCTCACTTTTTTCATCTTCCAAAACTTCATCAATCGGAATTGATTCATCAAATGGCACATTATGCTCACCAGGTAAATGAAAACTGAGTCTTTGAACAGAAGGGTTTTTGTAGTGAATGTCAAATTGGAAGATACGCCACACAGCCTCACACGGAGATATGTAACGACAGTTGTAGAAATTTTTAATTTCATCAACCTCAATCGAAGCACCAGCAGTACCAGATTGATCGATAGATGCAGTCACACGATCATTGCCTTTATTTATATACTTGAAAAGATATTTGATCGATCTAAATTGGTTGCACCATTCGACATTGATGTGAGCTTCATATCTTCTCAGTAAAGCAGGACTGTGCGGTACGACATATCCATTATCCAACTCAATTCCATTTTTAGTAACCGATAATCCATTGTTTCTTCTTTTATACATTGGAAAACCATCATCATCCACAGTAGTCCGATTAGCAAACTTCTTGGGGAAACGCTTCGTACATTTTCCATTTTTAATGCAAACACGATCGATTCCGTTAGATACACAAGGACCATGGATCATGTGATTGCATACCAATTCATACAACTTCGGATGCAAAATTTTATCAGGAATTTCAGCAGAAATAATGTTATCAACATCTTCTGGCGTTGGTATCTTACAATCGCGTTGAAGGAATACCAGAATGTGACCATGTGGTAAACCACGTTTTTGAAACTCCACCGTATATACAACTGCAATATATATATATATATACACACACAAAAAATTCGATACATCAAAACATTGAAAAATAAAATGCTCAAGAATAACAAATGCTAAAAAATAAATAATAAATTATTAAAAAATTAAATGAAAGAAAATAATAATGATATAAATACCTGCACGCGTTTTTCCAAACATTTCATTATCTTTAATGTCCGTAATTAATTGATCTAGTTTGACCTTGAAGACTCGGCAAACAATGTCTGGTCTATCTTCAGGTCTCAAACCCCGATCATTGAGATATCTCATTATTTCAGGCCACTTGGGATTGCAAGTCATTGTAATGAATAAGTCGGGATAGCCGTACCACTTGCAAAGTGCCATAGCATCTTGATAATTCTGACTCATGTATCTATTTCCTCCTGTGAAAGATTTTGGCATAAATATTCTTTGGCCAATGGTAGATGGATCTGTTTGACCACGCGATACAGCAGCATGAAGGTTTTTAAACTTTTCTGATCTTAGAGTAGGCTGATTGCGGCGAATAAAAAAAAGTCTTTGAGACTCAACCATGGTATAACCATCCACCAAGAATTGCTGAAATAAACGCCGCCCACGTAGAACAGTGCTCCATTCACAATCTCTTTCTTGAATGCGAAATGCAAAAAATTCTCGGAGCGTTAATTTATCCCTTGTTTTTGTCCTTATCAAGGATGCATCACTATGTTTAATCCCAACTCTGAAGCCATCTTCACCATGCGGGAACAATAATGGATATTGTAGAGGAAGATATGATGGATGCAGCTCGCTTATTCTTTTCAAACCACCAGAACGCGTTTCAATAATGATATCTCTTTTATCAAAAGTATCATCAATATCACCAACAATAAGAGCGGCTACCTCATGTGCGGTAGGAAGATTGTACATTCGGCCATCTGATTCTCTTCCTCCAATGAGCCTTAATTTTACGTTCTCATCAACAACACCAGATTGAAAACGCTCTCTAACCATTCTGTACGACTTCACCAATGGATTATTTTCATCAAGCATCCTCATTATATCGTTGATAACTCCAGCATCAAGATTACTTTGAGTAGTGCTGGATCGAGAGCTGGTGGTTTTGAAAATTGAAATGAACTAATATTAATATGGAAATTTTAATATTGTATAATATATTAGGTGTATGAAATAAACATAATTATGTACCTCATAGCATTCATTCTGTTGTCGATTTCATTCTCCGTATCGAAAATGTACAGTTGAGAAAATTTTGGAGGAGCTCCAGATACAGGTAACAAACTTCCAATTTTATGGTAGTTGGCCCCCTTCAATTTGAAAACATAAGGTGCATTGCCTTTGTTGATAGATTTATCGACATGTCCTCCGATTGAAGTGAAGCTGAAGATGCTATTATATGCACGAATATTATCCAAGAACTTATGACTCCGTTGATCTTGAGATGAGAGAAGGTTTTTCAACGTTTGAGGTGCTGGCCGGAGCAGTGGAAGTTGCACCTTCCCCTTTCCACAACAAATAGAAAATAATGGATTGTTTGATTTATCACTTTTTGTGGCACGTTCGTCATACCATAATTTTGCACCACAAAAGTGACATTTAAATGTTGGGTCTCCATGGTCCATATAACCTTACAAAAATTCAAAAAATATATTAAAAATATTGATTTCCGAGTTTGCAAAATAAGAGTTACCGAGTACGGACATACTTAAAAATAAATACATTTAAAAACAAAAATAGCGATTGTGGACTATTTTAAATGAAAAATGTAGATGCATGCAAAAATGAACATTTTTTTCATAATTTCATTAAAAATGTTTACATATTTAAATATCACATAAAATAAATATGAATCAAGTTTATGTATGCTAAGTACTAATAATTAGTTGACATGGAAATTTATATTAGCATTTAAAAAAATTACCGAGTGCAGGCACCGTTGATGATCCAGCATCGTCTTTATCTCCAACATATAAAGTTCGAGCAACGGAAGCGAGTAACTTCTTATCATGCGTTAGACGCTTGCCATCTGTGATGTTAGTTACGGTTCTATTTTGACCTGGTGAATATGAAATGTTATGGGATTTTCTAATTATGAATATACCAATGCAATTGACTAATAAAAATTGAAAATTTTTTCCTAAAAAAATTTGAAGTATGTTGCTTTAGAGTAAGCTTAATGAAGCAAATTTTATATTATCAATTAACAAATCAAAGTTGAGGTAAATTGAAATGGTAATACAAAACGAAAATACACCTTCAAGATTGTTCGTAATATCTGATAACGGAGTTTGTGTTCTCTGTACTTGTGTTTCATCTGTATACAATAAAAAGAAAAAATGTAAATGGCACACCTGCTAATAAATGTACACTTAAATTATTAATTAAGCATATCATAAATTAATAGTTTAAACAAATGAATTTTCCAACCTCGTGAACAAAGTTGGCGTTTCCCATTGTTCGTAATATCTGATAACGGAGTTTGTGTTCGATGTACTTGTGTTTCATCTGTATACAATAAAAAGAAAAAATGTAAATAGCGCACCAGCTAATAATGTACACGTAAATTATTATTTAAGCATATCATAAATTAATAATTTAAACAGATGAATTTTCCAACCTCCTGAACAAAGTTGGCGTTTCCCATCAATGTACGACTTCCTAATTTTTCTTGCATGACTTGAAGGGCTGTAAACATCTGAAATATTCTCATCACCCGCAGAACTTCCACGTTTGTCCTTCATCTTAGCCATCCTAATTTGTCTTGCATTTTTTGAACTTGCTCCATCCATTACTATCAAGACTATGAAAATGTTTGAAATAACATTAAGTTTGCAAAAAGAGATGTTTGAAGAGAATATATTATAACTAACATATACAATTTAGATTTAGAATTGTAGTAATTGATATTAAAATCGGTTGTGTCATGAAACAGAGACTCATGATGGGATTATAGAAAAAATAGCAGTAAACATATTCTGATGGGATTTTAGACCCCATGGCTGCAAAATATTACTCTTTTAATATTAGAAATGTTGTGATATACAAACCATTATGATGGGATTTTAATCCATAAATACAAGACATATTAGCAGTTTATACATAAATGACACAGCCACTCTAATATTTTCCCTCAACTTTTTACTTTTATTTTTTTCCAATTTTTTGGAGAAGAAAGGGGCCATGAACTCTTCTGTACAAAATAATCCAGCTACAATCCAACATTATAATATAAAATCAATATAACCTGAGCATCTAACTAACCAGACTTCCTTCCAATTTCCATAAATTGACAACAATATAATAAAAACAATAGGAAAAAAACATAGAGAAATTCGGATATAAAAGAGAATTAGAAAGGGAATAAAATAGCAGAAGAACAAAATATTTGTAGGGAACCTACTTAGGACCGAGTTCGAGATTCATATGCACAAAAAGACAGTTCAAGAGCCCAAAAGGAACCCAAAGAATAACACGAGATCACATATAAAAGTGATCACTTTTGGGATGATAGCAATAGGAGAAGAAAAAATAAAACATAATAAATTTCAAATATAAAAATAAGAAAAAGAAGTTGTGTTAAGTGCAGCTGCAGTGCCAAAGAAAGAAATTGAATTTTTAACTATGAACTATGAACATCCAAGACATATTACATTTGATGTGACAAATTTAGCGGTCAAGAAAAGCAAACCTGAAAAAGATAGCCACGAGAATCGCGTTCGAGCAATATATCACACTGTGGAGTTGATGTAAACCGGGGCCCAACGGGAAGGTTTTCCAGAAATCACTTGGAAATTGCACCTATTACGAATATCTGAAAAAAAGCAAGCAATATCTTCCCAATGTAGAGAATGCTCATAGCCGACCCTTATATCGTCGTTGAACGATGATCATTGGTACCCTGCAAAAGAATCATTCACCCATTGAAATTTATTCAATAAGTTTTGTAAATTAATTCTCACCTGATGCTTCCGATCGAGTTGATTTATTCATAGAAAAAACTGGCTTTTTTTTATTTTTGGTTTAAGCAACTGAGAATGTAGTCTTTTGAATCTCCGGTCCAGACTGAGAAAGGAAAAGCGAAATTGCGAAGAAAATAAGGGGGAAAACTCGTGCAGGCATAAAAGGGGGAAAAGTCGTGCAAGAAAAAGCGAAATTGTTTCAAGTTCTCGTGCAATATATAGGAAAAAATAATCATGACAATCTAAACTGAAAAGATTCCAAATTTGTAATATGGAAATGTGTAAATAAAAATAACTGAAATATTTTATAGATATCACTTTTATACAGAAAGATTCGCATGCTTTAGACCACATTTAAGCATGATGCTTATTGACATAAATAAATGATAAATTAAGGAAAAAAAAATAGATTGTCTCACTTACATATAGGAGTCAATTTGGAAAATTAAATCAGAAATGTAAATAGAAATGGTTCCAACTGCAATGAAATAGTTACAGATAATTTTGTTTCAGTAAATAACATTGGAAAGAAAAAATAAAATAATTTTGAGAAGAAAATTAGAACATAAAATAAAAAGTAAAATACTTAATTTGGATTGTAAGTTGATATATGATAAAGTAAAACAATATACAAAAATATTTATTTACAAAATATTTTAAATATATTATCTTTAATGAATTATTAAATATACAAAAATATTTATTTCTGTAATATTTTAATTAGATGAGTGGTATAGTGTTGAATGTATTAGATGCACTTATGCAAGAGTACATGTCTAATACCTTTGTTATTTTTATTGAAATACTTTTGTATCCGAACCTAATTCAATAGCCTTAAACATCTTATTTTTCGAGATGAAACTCTATTCTTTAATTGCTTGAGCGGAATCCAGAAGTTATGGAAAACTTTCTCGAAGACTTTAGTTTAAGGGGACAAGTAGAATTTCTTCTCTAACTTTCAGTATGAAAAATGTTATTGGTTGTGAATTATTTAAAGACGAATTCTTTGCAATTGAACCACATCATATGTTGATAGAACACAATTGTATAATTTGTATTTCTAATAACCCTCATGCAATTGACAAATTATTTTCGATGGTGGGCAATCGTGTATGCCAACACAACCCAAGATAATCAAATGTAAGGGTTTAAACCACAAACAATGTTACAAAACCAAAAGAAAGATCAATAAGAAATAAGCACTTAAGATGTGAATCACATCTTTGACCAATAACACCATTTAGAACTTTCGATAATATAATCCATAAAAAGTATTTCAATAGCATAGGAAACAAACTAAATATGCAGTACTGTAGGAAAAAACTAAATATGCAGATGACAATAGCAAATAATTAATGTATATACGGCATTTATATAGATGAGCCGTTTTTATTGCATTTTCTACGCCAATCAAAAATTCATTTCTCAATCTTCACTTTTGCATTTTTAGCCGTGAATGACTGCTCTGAATGAGCCACTCCTTCAATAATAACCTCATCGTTAAAATCAATAACAAGACGCTTCCTTGAAGTTGGCGTAAGATCAGAAGACTTTGCATTATCACCAACAGACGATACAGTACTCTACATGAATGACAATAAAAAAAAGTTATAGTTATATTAATTATAATTACATCTGTTGAACTTGAAAAAAATTGCTAACTAAATATACGGTAAAAGATAAAAGATTTTAATATATATTACAACAAAATTAAATAAAGGCCAACTTGAAAAGCGCATGTGTTCAAAAGATGTACCTTGTCATCTTGGCAAATGTTACACCACTTAGAAATGACTGATGAATCATCTGTGAGTTTGGATACGGTGTATACTCGTTGCCGCTGCCGTAGAGTGTACGCATTTATGTCTAGCTTGAACAAGTAACTTTTTTTCGCCAATACCTCTAGCTCGTCAGGAAATGATTCAATTTCACCAGCCTAATTGACATTTAATCAGTTTTTGATATTAAC